CGTCCTTGAGGCGCCTGCATTCCTCCGTGCTGTGGCCATTACTGCGATGAAATTTACAATATGCTGTGGCCTCTTTGCTTGGCTGCTGGGACCGTTGGCTACTTTTGAGATCTTCTTTGTAGTCGGTTTGTAAGACACTGTGCGACCGTCGTTCTGATGTGTCTCGCCCCGAAGGACGGGTGGAGCGGGTGGATGCTTGGTTTCCTTTCCTACTTTCATCAGTGTGGTTCTTTCCCTTGTTGACCGCCTTTTCTTGATCGTGGGAGTCACCAGCTCGACTCCCTTTGTATTCTTCAATTCTGATAAATTCTTGCGTTTTTTTCTTAACTTCTTCTAAGTCAGTAATCTCGTGTCGTGCGAGCTCGTAAGCAAATTCTCCTTGTCGCAAGCTTGACAAGGGTATGTGTACCTGTACCTTTGGATCTAGGCCTTGCACTTGTAAGGCCTCTTTATCAAAACGGTCTAGGAAGGACCTGAGGGACTCGCCAGAAAGCTGTCGGACCTTCTCAAGGGCGTGCACAGATTTTGGCACGGGACGACTAGTTGCAAAATGGGACTGGAACTTGCTTGCTAAATCGTCCCAGGATGCGATGCTGCCTGTTGGTAGGGTGGTGTACCAAGTCAGAGCTCTCCCTCCCAACAGTGTTGGGAAAGTTCTGCATATGAGTAGATCCGTTTCACCATGGAGTGTCATTGCTGCTTCGAATTTTTGGATCCACTCAAAAGGATCCGTATCGCCAACATACGTGGCGATGTTAGAGGGACCCTTGAAACCGAGGGGTATGGGAGTTAGTCTCAAGCTGTCGGTCAAAGGCTTGTTACGCCCTGACGTGTGAGCAGGCGTTATTCTGATATGTTGATCTTGTTGTGGTCGAGGTATTTGCGGGGCTTCCACGGAGTATGAGAGGGCTAGGGCTTGGTGGAAAGCTTGTTGAGCGCCATATGGTTGTTGATTGAGATCCGGACAAGATGCCAGAGGTTGTGGAACGGCTATGTTATGGGGCTGCATGGCGTAACCGTGGAAAGGGAAACCAGCTTGGTGAGGTAGTTGAAAAGGGATAGCCATGTTATGTGTGTATGGCCTAGGTGGGTATGGGGCGATCATGGGCACACGACGGTCGTTGTATACTAGCAGTGGTTGACTTTGGGCTGGTAGTGGAGGATGGGTGAGATGGGCAGTTCGTGGAACAGCTGCTGGAAATGGCATTCCAAAATGAACTCCGGGGGGCGGTGGTTGGTTTGGAACTACATTTTTCCCCTGCATCTCGTGCATGGGTACTTGATGATGCTGCAGGGCGACCCTAGCACCAGTCGTTGGCAACTGTGGACCAATGGATTGTAGTACATGAGGTAGGGCCTCTCCAGCGGCCTGCTCAGCTGGGGCTGAATGCATGGATGGCGGGGAGCTTGGTTGTACTGTCTGTACGTGTCCTTCTGGCGTCGTGGCCCTGGCGTGTTCCGTTCTTCTGGTGACCACCATGTCCAGTTGCAAAATGTGTTTGGCGTTTGCTTGGTAGCTAGAGGAAATGACCCGTCAGATGGGCCTTTGGGTAAGAGAATGGGAATAGAAGTTTATAGTTTCCCACAGACGGCGCCAATGTACCGTAGGGATCTATAAGCCCACTATGTTCCCTTTAGGGATGAGTCACTGTATGGGAAATACCCTTAGCTTAGGTACAGACCAGGCTAAGAGGTATTATGCCAAGCAATAGCAAGACAATAAGTAAGTGCAGTAAGCAATAGGACTCAAAGTAAATGGGCAATATCACGATACATAAGATACCTTTAAGTTGTGCCCATGGGGGCTATTTATAGGGAATATGGTGTGGGTTGGTAAGGAGGGGTCAACCCTCCTTGGGATGTACTCCCATGATAGCAGTGTTGGGCGTGTTTGGCGCTGCCTTTTGGGCAGCGCTGCGACTTCTGCGCCTGGCGATGTCAGCACTGGGCATAGGGTAGTTTTCCCTTTATGGTGCCTGTGGTTGGCGCCTTTGGTGGTTAGCGTCCCGAGGTAGGGCATTTCGGTGTATCCCTTGGACTTGCTGCAAGGTTGGAGGGCGCGAGACTCCACGTTGGGGCTGAGGATTGGGCCTGGCCAGCTGGGCTGTACCAATGTTTGGGCCATCCGGAACAAAAGGTTTCTCGGTTAGATGGGAACGCTTGCAACCTATTCAGTAGGGGTGAAAGTGAGCTAGGCTGAGCCGAGCTTTGCCCCGAAAAGTCCAAACCTAAGCCAAAAATTTTCAATTTGGCCTAACCTGAGCCTAGTACGAGTCTAACTGTTAGCCTGAATTGGCCTGTTTATAAAAACAAATGGCCTGGCTTGGCTCATTAGCCTGTTAATTTTTAACTTCCAAGCAGAACCCTGAATCAACTTCACAAAATACTCAAATTATGTTGCTAAAACAAAAATCACAATTTGAACATCCAAAGAGAACCATGAATCACAACAAAACTCATCACAATCTGCATTTAAGTCACTTTCAAAAGCAAAATGCTCAAACTAAATAACATATATTTCGTCAGATCCAACAAACAAATCTATATTATGTAAATTAAAATAATTACATGAATCCAACAAACACATCATGATGCTTGTAATAGCCAAAAACTTCTCTTTATCTTCTCTCCCCTACAAATACAATTCCAAGATTACATAAGTTGACAAACAATTTCTAAATGTAGAAAACAAAAAACAAGAATAAAGAATAAAAACAAAAAAAATAAGATTAAGAAGCAAAAAATATTTTAATATATTCATAAAGGCAATCTCACATGCTGAGACGTTGGTTTCTCCTACATAAAAAATAAAGTCATATTTCTATTAAAATTTAATCGAATATAATTAAATTATAAAATGATTTCAATTGATTAAATTTATACGTTTTGTTTTTTCTTCAAGTCATACCTATTACGTAGCCACCCGCCATATATTAAAGCTTTAATGGTATCTTTAACCAAGCTAAAATGATTAGCATCAATAACTCTTCCTCTAGCACTAAATGTTGATTCTGATGGTACTGTAGAGATTGGTGCAGATCTTATGCCACTCTCAAAGATAGTATTGGTGAGGGAACGAACCTAACTCCTTCCACCACCTACTTAGCTCACATGCACCAACTGATCTATCATCATTTGGTACATGAATAATATTATTTTATTTAAAATAAATAATATAAAAAGGTCGGCTGTAGGTTTATAGGCACGGTATGTAAAAAAAAGTCTATTACCTACTTTCTAAATAAGCTTCTTTAAAAGTCCGGGCCTGTTCTATTTGAGCATATATAATAGGTCAAGCCCGACCTGATATAGGCTAGGCCAATGGCGGACGCACCTTAGTGCAAGTGTCTGCACTTGCAGACACAAAGTTGGGAGAAAAAAAATTTCACATTAGATGGGTGCTTCAAGTCAAGTAAAAAAAAAAGAGAAAAAAAGAAATAGGAAGATTAAAGGAAAAAGGTAAAAATATGTCCAACCCAACCAACCCCTATAATTAAAAGCTTAAAGTTTAAACCCTAGCTCATTGTTGTCTCTCTTTTTTTTTTTATAAATTTTATTAGCTCCAAATCTTAATAAACATCAACATTCCTGAAATTCAATCTTCATCAAGTGGAGGAGAATTTCACGAGATTTTTTACGTTTTTTTGTGAAACAAAAGTGGCTAACTTTGGATCAAATAGACATCGACAAAGGTTAGTTTTTGATCGATTAACTCTTATAATTATACTATATTTTACAAATGTCTTTTTTTTGTGTTTATTTTTTTTAAAATTTTCATTATCTATTATTTCCTTAAAACTTTGGTTGATTCACCAAAGCTTTACTTTTGAAGTGAAAGCAAAAATTGAATCATGATTATGATCTTTAAAATAAAAAATAAAAAAATTGTGCAGACATAAAAAAAAATATCCTGGGTCCGCCACTGGGCTAGGCCGGCCCGACCCACTTTCACCCTTGCTATTTAGTGTTGACGTGGGATTGTAATGGATAAATAGAATAGATTGCTTCTCCTATAGATTAAATTATACGCAGCTAGTCAATATGGGAATATGGTGGCACACACGGTGCTCGCATCTCGACAAGGATATGTTCATATTGTCAACGTTACACGAACATTTTTAACCTACATTTCAATGGCTAACTGCGGGTTATAGAACTCACACAACCCACCATGCTGTGAATTTAAAATATCATATAGAGCTCTCAAAGCTGGCTTCTCAACAAGAATATGTTTATGGGATTGTATTTGGTCATGTTACATGACATAAGTTACATCATGTTGTAGAGACAAAGTTGGTGGAATTCACTGTTTAAATAAAAAACAAATTAAACAGTGAACCCCACCAACTTTGTCTCTACAACATGATATAACTTGTGTCATGTAACATGATGATTATATTTCCTTATGTTTATGTATCATCCACGGGCTTAATGATCATCTTGTCCCCATTTTAATTAAAAATTATCATTTTATCCTTTTTTTCAATCTATATACCAACTTACTCCTCTTCTTAAACTATATATCAAACTGCTCTGTTTGATTAAAGTTTAAACCACAGTTAGTAAATAAGTTATTTAATAGAATAAATGACTTAGCAAGTATTAGAGTTTGATCAAACTTTGGTTAAATAGGAATAAATTGGTATATAATTTAAAAAGAATGACATAATGGTATGTAATATTCCAATTAAACTTTGTGCATGTTTACCTTCTATTTTCTGTATGATTCTGGTTAAAGATTGCTCTATAAAGACTGGTCAAAGCTGCATTATGATAATCTCCAATGTGTATGTTAAGATTTTGTTCAGGCACACCGCACATGTACAGAGAAAAGTTTATCTTAGTGCTTGTGCTTATCCCTTCTATCCACGTTTTATGTCTTGCAAAGGAAAAATATTTTTCTGATAACTATTGGCTAGAAAGGTAAGCATGCTTTGACCATAGTTTTAAGAATTCTTTTGTACGCATGCCAGGAAGGAAATAGTCCAAAAGCTAACGAGTTAAACACAGTTTTAATTACTACTCAAATGGTGAGATGACTGTTCACAATCAGAAGTTTGTTAGACAGGCATAAAATAACCATTCAAGACCTTGGATCACTAACATCTAAACAAAATATGAACAAAGCACGGTGTTTGATACTAAGAGAAAAGTCACTATTTTTTTTTTAGAAAGAAGTTCTCCTCAGGCTGCTTTTGCCAAAAATAATTTGCAGCTTCTATCCATCGAGGATGAACTAAAAACTTGTTTTCTTTCACCGCCCACCGTGACTTCTCAGTTCCAGCATCAGTAGCAACTACATGTGTCACAGAGGGTTCAAGTTCTGTCAAACAAGTGGCTCCCATTTGCTCTGCCATCTTCCGGAGAGCTGGTAACGCACCATGAAATATACGGCTGAAAACGATCACACATCCATTTAAGACTTCACTTCGAAGTGATGATAAAACCTGGACAAAAAATGATTTAATTGTAAGAACCACATTAATAGAAGACAAACAATATATGAACATAAAGCTAGAGCTAGAAGACAACCAAATATGAACAGCATAACTACCTGCCTCACATCTCGAACAACAAGATCATCTTGAAGTTTCTACAAAAGTTTCCCCACCACATAATTTTAGAATTATATCAGAAATAATCAACTTTTTAATCAGGATGTCATAATGATAAGAGACGTACATCAAAGAATGTGCAATGGACTTGCTTGAGCACTTTGAGAATTTTTGAGAGCGCTCCATCAGTTTCATCTTCATCGCTCTTCAATTCAGCAAGAGATTTGCAATTGAAACCAAACTGCTGACAACTTGAAGCAAAAAAATGGTATCTTTCCATCAGTATCAGATTATCTTTATGCTTCATCCATGCCTACAACATTTAGTAGCAACATTTTCATACATCCCATTAAAAGGAGATGATTTTAGTTCATAAATTACCAAATCAAAAAGAATGCCATCTGAAACATTAAATGGATAGATCTTAGCACATTTCAAACTCTTGAGCTTCCTATATAGAGTGTACTTTACAGGGATAATTCGATTCAATTTCTAAAAAAAAAATTAAAAAAATTAAAAAAATTAAAATGTTAACCAATAATCATGTAAACCCCTACACGGAAATCCTCACAAAAGAAAGATAAGAAGCCAAGACAGAAGTAGTAGTTTAAGCTTTATAAGTGGAAAAATCACGCTTAGTCAAAATTGCCACATTAACTGTCTTCAAAGCCTATTGGGAGGAGCCACGCTACAACATCTTCAGACACAACCACTCAGACATATACTCATATGAAGTAAGAATAAAAAACTCAACCAGAATGGAATTCAAAACCCATTCATATTGTTTGATATCTAACCTGCGAATATGTATGCATCAAAGTATAAATAGAAACAAAAATATTTTATTTCCCAAAATAAATAAGTCCAATAGCACCAGTGACTGGAAATGAGTCGAGAGTCAAATTTCCTAATCTGTGTTATAATACAGAGAAAGCAACATTGCAAAGTAAAACTTATTTGAACACAACTAAACTTAGAAGAAACTAATTTTTTTTTTTTTCAAAAGTATAAACAAGCAAAATGTTTGAAACGCTCTAAGAAAATTTGATGTAGAACACTTCGCAAAATGGTTTCCAAAAGACCTTTAGAATCCGTACCTAGCCATTCAAGCACTCTTAATTTCGGTAAACACCAAATGCAAATGCAAGAAAACAAATTTCTTACTTCTTATGCCTAATTACCAACATAATACATTATGGAGTTATAACTTTTTTTATTCATATTTTACAATCGTAATTCATTTATTTGACCCAAATTGTAACATTTTCAGTTAGAAGTAGTCTGACCAAAGTTGTAATCCCAACAGATTGCTTTTAATGGAAGAATGAAAGACTGAATGGCGTACAATGCCACTTAGCAATTGAAAGATAATATTTTTCTTCCATTATAACTAAAATAATTATAAAAAAAAAAAAAACCAATCTCCATTAAACTCGACTAGCGAGTGTGAGGTGGAGGAAATCCTTGTACGCAGCCTTACCCTTGCATAATTGCAAAGAGGCTGTTTACGAGATTCAAACCCATGACCTTTCAGTCATGAAGGAACTATAACTAAAATAATTATAGGGAAAAAAAAAATAGACTTTATGGCATATATGCCAAATCACTGTTTTGTTGTTCACACATAGGTCGGAAGAAAAATATTATAAGACTGTATTCCACATAAAATAACTATCATCAAACAAACATTCCAATTAAGTAATTCAGCATTACAATCAGAAACTAGCAATGCACTCACGTGTTCTGTATCATCAAGAATTAGGACAGCACTATCTTGCCCCAACACAACATCAAGACCCTTCTGATGCTTTTGAGTCCCATCATCTCGAGAAATCACCTTTGCATTGAAGTATTCTCCTTGAGGATCAAGAAGCTTAGCCATCTCTAACGCATAGGGCCGATCACCCATGGTGTATATGTACATTTCAAACATCTCATTTGCTTCTTTTAGAAATGTGCGGACAAAGGGCCTCAACTTGGTCATCATGTGCATATGCTCCAATTTGAAGAGGCTACCTTTGGAGACATCTATTGTTTCATTAAACAGTAAATACAGGGTGAAAACACTTTTGTGTTAGGAAAAACTGCTCATTCAAAATAATGATGCCAATTAGCAAAAGCACACTGGTTGGCATTTACCTCCTAGAGAATCTGTCTGAGTATGTAAATGCAACTCTTCTGAGCTCAAATGAACAAGGTGAGTAGAATTTAGCAGTGTGTGATCTAGGTCAAGAACCAAGTTAAGCTTTTTCCGCAATAACAAATTCTTCATGTCTGTATCGCGCAATCTAGAAATTTCCTCATCCTGGAGTCTCAGTCCCTGCAAATACAAAATTTTCCATCATATTTAATAAACTATTATTTGAATAAATTACTTAGATTGACCAGGTTATTTGTACCAGCCCAACCATTGTGCTAACCAAATCATGAAAATGAATATAAAATTTCTACATTAAAGATTAGAGGATATGTTATAATGCATATAAAACCAAGAGAATCCTAACATCATCAAACTATGGTGGAGCATATAAACCATGCAGCTGTATACTTGTTATGAATGCCCCAGCACAACATATTTTACTTCTTATAGGGACAATTAATTCCAAAAAAGAAATATATCCCAAATGAGTGGTGCTACTGGCTAACCACCACACTTTTTGGTTGTGATCAATAACAGCCATTAAACCAGAGAATAACTTTTTACCAAGCTTCAACTTATTTCAAGTAGATCTAATAGTTATGTGAAAACTGTAACATGCAGCAGCAATAACTATCCAAAGATAAATTTGTAAACACACAAGATAACAATCTGAAATATTGCGTACCTTATGTATGTACCCAAATGTCACACCAGAATCCCCATCCAACTTTTGCCCACAACGTATACACATATGTCCAAATGAGCCAGGATGTGTACATACATCTACCTCCACGGATGCCTCTGCAATAACAATAAAAAGAGAAAGTTAAAATACTTTCAAGACAAAATGATAAAGTTGTATAAGAACCGTAATAATAGTTGCACAAACATGTAAGAAGATTGTGCAGAATCTGAACCATTACAAATAAGTTTAAGGTCTAGTAGTTATCCAGTGGCCCACAATAAAGGCAGTGTGGATTGTACACGATCTGACTGTGTATAAGCCATTACTCGATTAGAACTGACATTGTCAGTAAATAAACAATCAATACTGCTTCTTGGTGAAATGGGATAAAAAAAAAATTGGTTTGAGTAAAGCAAGTTACAGATAGCATTGCATGTCTAATAAGCTTATGTTGAACCAGTGAAATAGCAGGCAGATAAAACTAAGAAATGTCATCACATCTTTTGCTATAAATTGGTCTTCTTGCTCTAAAAGGGAAGCTGTGTATGAATAAATTCTTGAAAACTACACCGAGCTGCACATGTGGTGGGAATCATTCTGGTTTGCAGTAAAGATAATGAAAATACACAACCAAAAAAATCAAAATTACCTAAATTCCGTTCCTTGGTTCCTTCTGAAGTAGACCCCTCAGTTTCCTCAACGCTTTCAAATTTACGTCTTTTAATTCTGCTTTAATTCATAAATTTGACCAAAAACATGAGACAAGGAAAAAACCATAGCATTTCATGATTATCTCTCAGAATGACATTTGCAACACAAATAGACACCAAAAAAATGAACCCCAAAACCCAACTTTTTCTTTCAGGTTTATGCAAATAGCATCCAAATTCCACAGGTCAGTAAAAATAAGTTTTCATACAACAGTGAAGATTTTGAAAACAAAACAAAGATAAAGAACACTGTAAGTGAGTAATTAAGACGACAAGGCATAACTAGTAGTGATATTCATTCTATAACATAGTTGACAGGGAAAGGAGGAGGCAGTAAGGATCCCATACCCAGACCACCATTTCAGTGTGCCTTTAGCTATACTAAAAGAATGCCATAAACGTAATTAAAACCTGGCAGTATGATCATCTATGATTTTTCAGAAACAAGTAATCACTCCTAAAATATAATATAACCTGTCAAATTTTATCATGATCATGATAATAGAAAATCAATTTAAAACACTTTGAAAGTAGTTATCAAGCAACTTACTCAACTATAATTAAAGTCTGAACAACCACACTACCCTACAACAACAACAGCCTTGCCCTACTAGATGGGTCAGCTACATGGATCAATCGAACCCTATTGCACTCTATCAAAAACCAAAATTTCACTAAAATCATTTATTTGAGCACCACAGTACTCTGCATCTAATAAATGTTTAGTCCTCTAAGGAATCAAAACTAGATATATGAACATGTCATACCAACTAAACTTGAATAAATTTGTGAAAACGAAACTGGCAACAACTTAACTCATTCCAAATCGTATATAATAATATGAAACAGGCAATGAAGAGAACCTGACACTCTCAAACTCATCTTGGTTTCCATCTTCTTTATCTGAAGATGCGTCGGGTGAATTTGCATCTAGTGCAGCATCAAGAAATGCAATGAAGTCATCACTGCTGGATGAATGTACTGGAGAATCTGTCACAACACTCATCTGTATCATTGCAATCCAATGAAACCAAATTAGGAAGCAAAATCCAGAAATGAAGATTATTACACAAACCACAACCAACTGGAACATAAAAAAGAGATAACAGCTTGAGCTGTCAAAATGGGCCAGCCCGGCCCATTTAGCCCTAGCCTGTGTGGGTTAGGGTAAAAAAGCCCGTAGGGCCAAAAAGCCCACAATGATATAGGCCCATATGGGCCAAAAGCCCTATGGGTTAGGGCTAGCCCATGGGCCTTCCAAAAATTTAATATGTATTTTTTTTTTTTTTTTTTTTTTATAACATTTAATATGTATTTTTTTGTGTAAAAAAAAATCCATATTTAATATATTCTTTGTTGTAATACATTCCAAGGTTTCCACAAAGTTAAACATAAATATCACTGATTAACATACCCAAATATATTATAAACTCATATGTCCTAGTAGTGTTCCAGATTGTATTTACAGAGGTTGGACAAGAAACAATGACCAGTTTACAGGATGTATTTACAACCATAATGAGCAACATTTTCTCATAAAAAAAAGTGAGAGCATATTCTCATAGATTATTGGAACACTAATGAAAGCAGATTTTATAGTACTGTAGATGAAACTAATATTATATAAAATGACTTGTGTGATCCATCTTGGGCAGCAGATTACAATAAGATGTCAACATTGTAACAAAGAAATTAAATGACTATATCTTCGGAATACCTATATTTGCTTATTGTAAGATATCTCAATTATATTTATTACATCATAACTATATGATAATATAAAATTCTATTATCATATTGCAACAATATGGTTCAATCAGGTCATAAATTGCAGAAAGCAAGGTTTCAAAAGTTTTTTACCATCAGAATTCAAATCACCAACAAAAGAAGGTCTGGAGGTAATAAACGAAGAAAAGGGCAATGAAACGGAGATTGGGACATTTATGCCAACCTGATTCAAATCAGATTCAACAACGCATTAGAAAAATGTATATAGGCTAGTAAGTTCTAAAGAAAAATTAATTCCAGCAGCTTTGCAAAACATTACATGGATATCAAACAATTGCCTGAAGTTCTAAAAGGTTTGACTGAAATAGAAATAACAGAAAAGATCACAGCCACTGAATAGAATAGGAGTTTCTGCATTATGCAAAAAAGACGGGGGGAAAAAATGCAGCAAGAATGAACAAAAGAGATGATCTAAGAAGAATAATTTCCAAGGTGTACAAAAAAGTAATTAAAGGGAATATGAAAACAAGATAAATCACTGAGTAGCATGCAAACATACAGATTTAACACAGGTCCAAAGGTGCATGAATTTGGCTACGGTCTAAGCTACTCAAATTATTCCTGAGTTCCTCTCTGTCACACAGAACATTCTTTACTTCAATCAATCATCTACTCATTTGATGGTTGAGAATTCTGAAACCATCCGTTACAAACTGGTTTCGGAGTTGGGTGAACAATCTTTGAATTCAACAAAAATGAACATTCCCACCAAAGAGAAAAAGAAGAGTTCATTGGATGGCCATGCAACTCAAACCCAAAACATATTCCCCACCGTCCCAATCCACCGCACATTCTCATTTTAAATTCACACACTGCCATTTCAACTCTCTTTTTTCCTTTTTTCTTTTCAATCCATTTAAGGGTCTTCTTGAAGCACATTCATCCCCCCTCTAATTTTATACCTAACTATACCTTAGTGGCATCCACTAACAACCAGTTATATTATTACTACCATCCCTATCGTTTATATAAGAACCTCTTTACTAGGACCAACTACCCTACACCAAAAAAATATGTAATGGTGTGAACGCACACCCGAATAGAAGAATCATCATAATGGTGTGAACGCGCATAACACAAGCAATGATCCCTCAAATAGTTTTAATAATAATGCATTAAGAAGCAAAGTACATGGATTTCAAACTATAGAGTTCAAAAGCTAAGATAGAATTAAAAATCAATCAAAAAACAAAGAAAAACAAATTAAAAATGAAACCTCAACTCAGAGCTTCAGAAAAAAATAATTAATTAAACAGGTAAAGTGATGCATTGAACAGAAAAGATAAATAATGCAGTGTCAAATATCATAAAAGAGAGTTATATAGTACACACCATATAAAAAGAGAGGGCATTCAATTGCTTAGGCCTGTTTAGCGTCAAAACTCTCACAGATGATTTACGCTCCACCAGAATCTGTTGAACAAAACGAAAAGCAGTTCAGAACTTCATTTTTTTTTTTAACAAAATGAAGGAAAATGAAAATACAAGTTTAATCTGATAGAGGTATAAACAAGCCCTAAGAATGCAAGAAGCAACACTGCAGCAAAAAAATGAAAATATCATATGATTAATTTGAACCCTCACATCCCTATTATCGGACCCATCTCTGCTAGGGTGCGAAGTCGAGGTTCTGAGAAGAGAAGCGATGGTGCATCTCGTCGCTGACACAAATTTGAAGAGGATTTGTTGAATTTGGGTGGAATGGGTATTAGATAGCCTATCTAAGTATCACACGGAAGGATGATGGTGAATCTACAAGAACACAACCAAATTAGGGTTTGACAGAAGAGAGAATAGCTATTTTCCCGAGAAAATTATGCAGTCTGATGGAAAATGAGTTGAATTCTTTTGATCCATGGTCCAGCTAGCACCTAACCCAATAAATGGAGGGGTCTTATGGGTTAAGGCTAAGTTGGCCCTTCACAAAAAAGGCTGAATAATTGATGGGGCTTTCATAGGGTAAAATGGGCTAACCGTAGGGCTGTGGGCTTTTTGACAGGTCTAGAGATAATAGTATAAAATTAACTACATGAATAAATGAAGGGTTTTATAAGAGTTACGTTGTAGGAAAAGTGATTGTGTAATATTATAGAGATTTGTTTTGCGTGTCGTAATTTCTTTTCTTTCTTTTTTCTTCAAAAAGTGTGGACTCCATAAAATGTTGTGTGAGTAGGAAAATTTATTGTGACATGTTAAATGAGAAACGCAAATCCCGAATCCCTACTAAGAATAGAATTGGTTGCTAAGGCTTTTTTTCTTTGAAAAAAAAAGATTAAATAAACATAAAAAAACGTACACTTTTACTTGTGTTCTGCGAGTGATGGAGAACAAAGATGGATGAAGGCTTCAACAAGTTCAAGCCTTACGATAATTTTCTATGCAAAATCATGCGTCCCAGAGAGAGCCTCAACGAAACCAACAAAGGAATTCAAGAGTAAGGGCACGGGTACCGGGAGCTTCATCTTGGGCCTCTTTTGCCTTTTGGGTATTAATTTGATATTGGGCTTTGAAGAGTTTGGCTACCCATTGGGCTCACACTTTTGCCCTTTTACACGATCCAAGTTTAAAAAATCAAGTATTTTAAGTATGAAAAATGTGAGTGTCATGTCATAGATATAAAAATATAGAACCCATATTTTTATAATTTTTTTTATTTTTATTTTTTTCAACGGAATCTATACTTTTTTATGTCTATGGCATGACATAAAATGTGTCATATAACATGACCCTCACATTTTATTTAGGGTACCCCAAACTGAGAACTTTAAAATGCAGTATGTATATTCTCAGATTGCTTCCACGGTTGCTCTTTAGTTGCATTCTTTGAACCATAGAAATTATCCAGACCTGCGACTTGTCAATGATGAATGCATCACTGATAACAAGAGAGCTGAAATTGAAGTTGTGACTTAGTGAACTCTTTCATTACATTTTCAATGTAGAACGCTTTCTTTCTAATTGATTTACGCCTTATCTTTCACTACTTCAGACTAGTTATTTTCCTAAGAATACTGCTTCACATCATCTACAATATACGCTCTCAAAACATCATTTTATATTGAAAAATTAAAAAATTATAATGAAAAAGACTATTATAATCCTACAACAAATTATAATTATAAAAATACCTTAATTTACACATCAAAACGACGTTATTTTGGACTCAATGTAAATAAATTATCCACTTAACCGTAGAAAAAACAAGCTCATACAATATAGGCAAGAAAGGAAAATGAAAGAGTATTTTTGTTATATTTATTGTGTTGTTTTAAATTTACTTTTTCGTTCAATGATTTTTTTTCTTTTTTTATCAATTTAGAACTTGAATGAGCAATTGCCATTTGGAACATACAACTCTGCTGATATGACTCGTGTGAATTTTGTTTGTTTCATTCATCTTCTATTAGTAGATTGCAATATACGGACTTAAGTCCCACACCAGAAGTATAAGGTTTTAATTTGGAATTTATATAAACTTTAGGTTCCGGTACCTTACAAACTAGCTTATTAGGTGATTTTCTCCCGACATCCGTATCGAGCAATCTAACTTGACTTCTGAAGTGGCTCAAATCTGACCTGACTTGGTTTCAAAACGTGTTTTTAATTTGATTTTTTTTATAGTTATTGATTTATTTTTTAATCTCATGTAATTTAATTATTTATTTGTTTTAAAATATATAAATTTTATAATAAATTTGATATTTGTTGAATAAATAAAAGAATGTAATTTTAAGCCCCTGCACATGTGAAGCAAAATTAGTGAAAATTAATGAAAAGTAAATTATGAGAGAACGCTCTTCCCATCTTAAGATGACAAATCACTAATTTTAACAATACTAAAAAAGATCTTATTTTCGATGAAATTTCTACGTTGCAAACGACGAAAATTTCGTCACAAAATTATTTTTTCGCCGGAATACTTTTTGTCGAATAGCGACGGAATTTTTTCTCTAATGAAAATTTTTACAAAAATAAATTTTCTATCGAAATTTTCGACGAAATTTAGTTTTCGTCAAAAGTTTTGACGAAAATGATTTTCTCCATCAAATGTTTTAAACAAAAAAAGAATTCTGTCAAAAAATTTGAAGGAATGTTTTTCGTTCAAAATTTCAATGGGAATGTGTTCTGACGAAAATTTCGACGGAAATTGTTTTGAAGGAAATGTTTCATTCGAAACTTTCGACGAAATTTAGATTCTCTAAAGAATTTTGATAGAATATTTTTTTCGTCAAAATTTTTTATTGAAATATTTTTTGCTAAAAATTTCGACGAAAATTTTTTTTTGTCAAAAAGTTTAAAGAAAATATTTCAGCCGAAAACTTTTGCCGAAATTTGAATTCTGTATAGAATTTTGATGACATTTTTTTCCGTTAAAAAATTTCGATGGAAATGTGTATCGTCGAAATTTTTGATTGTTTTTTTGTAAAATAATTTAAAGAAATTTAGATTCCGTAAAAAAAAATTCCGTCAAATTTTTTTACAGAAATGTTTTTAGTCACAAATTTTGATGAAAATATTTTTCGTCAAAAATTTTTGCAAAATTTTTTTATGGAAATTTTTTTCCGTAAAAAATTTTGACGTAATTATTTTACGTTAAAACTTTTCTCTTAACGTAATTGTGATTTTTTTTTCACATAATGGATATGGTCAAGTTTTGAATCAATGAGTCATTATTTAAACAAGTCAGGTCTAAAACTGACCCAAATAAAAATGAGTCAGTATTTAAACCAGTTCAAAAAAATAGATATTTATGAGTCAAGTCAAGGTCAAATCAAGAACAGGACAAGTGAATCAATTTTTTTGCAGAGCCCTGTATACACGCCCTGCTGAAATGTCGAAGGGTGATTTCAACTTGGCATGCTTTCATTTTTTATTATTTTGAAAGGCCGACTGCCGATAATGCATTGTTCATATATATTACATGAATTACTGATAATAAATCATTAATGATAATTAACCACACAGCACTTTACTTATGTCTCTATAGAGATTGATATAATAAGTATTCAATACATTAAGGGGTATATAGGAGTGTTTTATATATTTAAAAATTATATTTTCAATCTTAATCCTTATTACATTTGCATTTAACGGCACATATGCAAGTAAAATTAAAGTTAAGATTAAAAGTAATACTTATTATTTTTAAATTGGTATAAATTTGATGATTCCCTTAAGGTTATCTTTCTATAAATATTAACATGTAGATGTCCGTGCAAAGCACATGTCAAATGGCTAAAATTAAAACTAAATGACATGGTACCAACGAGTTACAGTTTTCGAGTGAATTTGATACTCGATTTTTTATTCACATTACTCATTAGATTTTTGTTTTAACCTTTTGCTAGAGAGATATAATATAAAATCATTGAAATTCTATTACTTACAAGCTTAAATTGTGGAGTTAAATGAACTGTTTATATGGTATCAGAACATTAAAGTTTAATTCTCGCTGCTTCTTATTTTCTTGTGAAATTAAATTAGTACTGAGTAGTTTACCAACAAAAAAAAGAGTCAGCACTATAAATAGATCTGGGCAATATCCACATTGAAAGTCCAAATGACTCTTGCGAGATGTAATACAAAATCATTGAAATCGTATCACTTACAAGCTTAGGATCTTGGGTTAAAATTATTCTTTACAATCTTAAATGTGAAATTTAAGATTTAAATTAAATTAACTAATTATAGTATAAGATATTATAATTGAAAAATTAAATAGATAATTAATGAGTCCAATTAAAAAAATTGCAATTAAAAGTTGGAAATAGCAAGTGAAACCTCGCTTGCGTTGTCCAATTTGAGTTATTAACTGTTTTGATATTTAAAATAAAATATAAAAAAAAATCTGAAAAAAAGGGTTCAACTCATCACATATGTCTGTGCTGTTTCTTAAGCATTTCAGCGCCATCTTTTATAGGAACTCTGATAAAAATGTCACTGTTCATCAAGTTTTTTACCTAAATGCCACGTGGACAAGTTTGTTGGGCACTATAGCGAACTCAATTTGCTAACGTGTCACGTTTCTAGTAGACACCAAGTATCAAGTTTACTACTTGGGATAGCGAACTTGGTTGGAATACATAATTTTTATGTATTGCAACCAAGTTCGGTACCCTAGGTAGCGAACTTGGTGTCCACGAAAAATGTGACACATTAGCAAACTGAGTTCGCTACAGTGTCTAGCGAACTTGCCCACATGGCATATTAGAAAATAACACTGTTCGTGTGGTATTTGAGTAAAAATTTTGGTGAACAGTGACATTTTAGTAACTGTTCCTCTTTACTATTTGATAATGATTATTTTGGTATTGACAATTTGTTAATGACAAAATCAATTATTCAAAAAAGTTTTATCAGTGTTTGGGTAATCCGGCCATCCACCAATACAAGTACTCTTCCTATATTATCAACGGGTTTGGAAAGGCCACTTAATCTTGTTTAGACGTAAAAAGGAAAGGATTTCGGTTTGATCTTCATATATTATTTTTAGGAGGAATTTAAATATCTACATCCCTGATCCATCCCGTACTTTAGACAGACGCGAGGCGGATGGATGGGGGAGAGAGAGAAACGATCTGCACAGTGTTTGAGTACTATATACGTGAAAAGATCCATACACTTAATGTCTTATTATTTTGAATTTGATTATGGTGTTAGATTCTGTTGTTGTTGTGGATTTTTTGCTTAAGCGCAATTGATACATGAATTTTACTCCTTTAATTGGACTCCCCTGGCCGCTTCCCAATGGTGCTCACTCAACCCAAAAGTTTGCATCAAAACCATGATGTCGAAGTTTTTTTAAACTGCAAAAACGACATTTTTTTTGTGTGCTTTTGCGATAACAAAAATTCGGTTGCACGTGCATTAATGAATATATTTCTAAATCTAACGTTACAATATTATTTTAACCATATTTACATATCTTTACAGATAATTACACATTTCTAAATAATTTTAATTAACATATCCATTATCCAATCAACATGATATTTACTAAATCACTTTTTGAATAAAACTTTTCAAACATAAATCACTAAAATAAAAATCACTTTTTTTACACAATCAGCATTAAAAAATAAAGTTGAAGTAAAAGTTAAGCTTGCAAAAGCTAAGACAAAGATTCGTTTAATTAAGGCTTTTGGCTTGTTCACACACATTCTCTATCTAAAATGAGAGAATCCATGCACTTCCATAATTTCGTCAATACCACAAACTCTGCTACACAGACTCATATGACAAATTTCTTAACAGTAAATCCACCAGTTGCTTTGGGAGCCAAAATTCTTTACTGGGATACGAAGTATAGGACTATAGGCATCGTAATCCACGTACAGGATCTAAAACCTGTCATTCTGTGAAATGATAACAAAGAAATAACCAAGTTTAGAAGATAAGTTCAGGTTAAGTGGTAGGTTGAATTTCATTCATCTACAAAGAAGAAAGGGTAAGTACTACCATGGAGTATGAACATCACCAACCTACACATAAGTGAAAAACAAAAGTAATTAATGCAAATGTCACAGGTTTAACCCAACTTAGTGTTGAGGAAGCAAAGCATTAATGATTGAGTGAAAAAATTCGACATTGGTTAAGAATGAACTAAGTGAGCATCATATAGGTGGAAGGATCCATGCACCTATGTCTTAAGGTTTTGAGTTTGATTGTGGTATTCTATGCCCATTTAATATATTTGTTCGACTCTAACTTTGAAGAGAACAGTGACTAAACTCTGCCTCCTGATGAAGAAGAGGCCAAACAAATAGATGTTGTTGACAAAATCCCTTCTAAAGCAAGATTGATGATGATCTAAAGGGAATGAAACAAGTAAAGACATCACAGGATTAGTCAATCTCTTTTACAATCACTAACTAAAATTCAGTACACTCAACAACAATAAAACAGTAAACACTTGTATGCAAGATACCACAAAACAGTAGACTTCTTATTATTATATCGCAGTGAAAAATTCCTCTGCATACATAATATATATTTCACCAGTTACCGTTGAAGTATCGGTATCGTTTAAATAATGAAAGACAATTTTACCAATGATTTGGAGGAGTATTATGGTTCGAAAAGTCGTAGAACGATACACGTTTATAGCCCTTAAAATTAAAATTAGCCCAGTGGGTAGCCCAACTCCTCAAAGCCCAATACCAATAATACCCAAAAAGCAAAAGAGGCCCAAGATGAAGCTACCGTCACACGTGCCCTTACCCTTGAATTCTTCGTTTGTTTGAGGCTCTCTCTCTCTCTCTGCTGGGACGCATGATTTTGCATAGAAAATTATCGTAAGTCTTGAATTTTTTAGAGGTTATAGATACCAGATGTTCTGTAGCAAACAACGTTAGAGGTTAGGATTTATAACGAAGTGGATGCCTCTTCCTGTTCCTGTTCCTTCCCAGCATCATCAAGTGTTGACAAACCTCATCGACTACACCCATCACAAAGACATCACCAGAGGTCGAGCACTGCACGCTCGCATCCTCAAAAATGGTTCCTTTTCCTGCGTTTACATTGCCAATACCCTCCTTAACCTCTACGCAAAGTGTGGTCAATTGTCCAACGCCAACCTCGTATTCGACAACATCGCTGACAAGGACGTTGTCTCATGGAACTGTCTCATCAATGCTTTCTCGCAACAACAGTGCCACTCAGCCTCTTCCTTCGTCATGCGCCTCTTTCGCAGCATGTGTGCCCACCACACCATCCCCAATGCTCACACCTTTGCAGGCGTGTTTGCTGCCTCTTCCAATCTCATGGACGTTTTCAGCGGGCGGCAAGCGCATGCCCTCGCCATCAAAACGGCGTGCTCTGATGACGTTTTTGTTGGGAGTTCCCTCCTTAATATGTATTGTAAAACGGGTTTCGTTTTGGAAGCTCGCAAGGTGTTTGACAAAATGCCCGAGAGAAATGCGGTTTCTTGGTCTGCCATGATTTCTGGGTATGCTTCTCAGGAGCTGGCTAATGAGGCTCTGGAGCTTTTTGGACTCATGCGTCGTGAAGAAGAGGGTGAGAATGAGTTCGTATTCACTAGTGTTCTTAGTGCCTTTACAAGTCATGAGTTTGCGTACACTGGTAAGCAGATTCATTCTCTTGCCATAAAAAATGGGTTGCTTTCCATTATCTCTGTTGGCAATGCTCTTGTGACAATGTATGTGAAATGTGGGAGCTTGGATGATGCGCTTCGAACTTTTGACTTGTCTTGGAATAAGAATTCTATCACATGGTCGGCCATGGTTACTGGTTATGCTCAAAGTGGGGATTCTGATAAAGCATTGAAGTTGTTCTACAACATGCATCACTCTGAAGTATTACCTAGTGAATTTACTCTTGTTGGAGTGATCAATGCTTGCAGTGACCTTTGTGCTATTGTGGAAGGGAAACAAATGCATGGTTATTCATTGAAATTGGGGTATGAATTGCAGTTGTACATTTTGTCAGCTTTGGTGGACATGTATGCAAAATGTGGTAACATAGCGGATGCTCGTAAGGGTTTCGAGTATATACAACAACCTGATGTTGTTCTTTGGACTTCTATCATAACAGGGTATGTACAAAATGGGGATTATGAAGGGGCTCTAAATCTGTATGGCAAAATGCAGATGGTGGGGATTATCCCCAATCAGCTAACTATGGCGAGTGTCCTAAAAGCTTGTTCCAGCCTAGCTGCTTTAGACCAGGGAAAGCAAATGCATGCTCGGATTATTAAGTATGGTTTCAACTTAGAAGTTCCAATTGGAAGTGCTCTTTCTGCCATGTATGCAAAATGTGGAAGTTTGGATGAAGGGCACCTTATCTTTTGGAGGATGCCTACCAGAGATGTAATTTCGTGGAATGCAATGATATCTGGACTTTCTCAAAATGGTCGCGGTAATGAAGCCTTGAAGCTGTTTGAGGAGATGTGCTTGGAGGGAACAAACCCTGATCATGTCACGTTTGTGAATCTTCTCTCTGCTTGTAGTCATATGGGACTGGTGGACAGAGGCTGGGTTTATTTCAATATGATGCTTGACGAGTTTGACATTGCTCCAACAGTAGAGCATTATGCTTGCATGGTTGATATTTTGAGCCGTGCTGGTAAACTCATCGAAGCAAAAGAGTTCATTGAATCAGCAACGATTGATCATGGCTTGTGTTTATGGCGCATATTATTAGGGGCTTGTAAGAATTATCGTAACTATGACCTTGGTGCTTATGCTGGAGAGAAACTAATGGAGTTAGGGTCACCGGAATCATCTGCATATGTATTGTTATCAAGTATATATACAGCCTTAGGAAAGTGGGAAGATGTGGAGCGTGTAAGGAGGATGATGAAAGCCCGAGGGGTCACTAAAGAACCTGGTTGTAGCTGGATAGACTTAAAGAGTTTGGTTCATGTATTCGTTGTTGGAGACAATATGCATCCTCAAATTGAGGAAATACGGTCGGAGTTAATGTTTTTAACCAAATTGATGAAAGATGAAGGATATCAACCTCTTTCGGATTCATTGCCTGAAACTATCAGAGATGATTTGAGTGGTAATATTTGATAGTATTCCCATTTCTTACCTATCAATTTCTTCAGTTAATCAATAGAGTGATTTTTCTTTTGTTGTATGGATCGGTGTATGGTTTAATTCCTACTGTTAAAAAAACCATCTTAGTAACTAACAGTATTGAGATAAATACAAAGTGCATCTGGCCCATCATCTTCTTCTCTTTAAACTTATTCGCACCATCTGCTTGCCTTTTCTTTGTGATTTATTGGTTTTAAACTTTTAATTGAGAGATTGAGACAGACTCAGCTTTCACTAGAATTCTTTACATTTCTTATTTTCCTTATATTTTCATTTTCTTTTATTCATTCAGATCAAGAAGGCAGCCACGAGATACAACTTATGATTTGTGGTGGCTTGTAGCATGATTTTGGAGATGATCTACTCATGCAAAAATGCAAAATGTAAGATTATATTGTTCGTTATATTCAGAGAAAAATATCTTTTACTGTTGCCTTTCATATTGGTCTTACGTTGTTAATTTTATTTGAAGAAGTTTAACTTTTTCAGTTGGGTTTTCTTTTACCATAATCTGTAGTGTATTTGATCACTGTTTTTTTCTTAGGTATGGAAATAAGTTTCTTTATGTTAAAGAGTGGATGTTACCATTGCTTCCTGCAATTTGCAAAAATGCAAGGGTAAAGCTACGTACAATTGATCCTCACCCCTACCCTTGCAAGTCGGGGAGCCTTGTCCACCGGCGTTTGTCCTTTTTTTTGTTCTTTCTCTTCACTCATCCTGGTTATTAGCTTTCTCCAGGATGTAACCATTGCTTCCTCCAATTTGCAAAAATGCAAGGGTAAAGCTACATACAATTGATCCTCACCCCTACTCTTGCAAGTCGGGGAACCTTGTCCACCGGCATTTGTCCTTTTTTTTGTTCTTTCTCTTCACTCATCATGGTGATTTGCTTTCCCATTTTTCGTTCCAAATTCTAAGTCAGTTGTCACAATCTCTATAAGAAGTAATAAACTAATAGTTTGTACCAAAAAAAAAACTAATAGTAATAGTAATCTATTTAAATATCTGCCTATTAAGAAGCTTCAACATATTCTTTGAACTAATACTTTCACAATAATTTTGACCAGAAAATTCAAATTTTCTGCCCTGTTGAATATTCCTTGATGCTGGACATTTACTTCACTTAAAATTTGGCATTCTTCTTTCCTTGTTTTATTTTTGTTTATGATTTGTAGACAAGCACATAACCTGCTTGCTTTGGAAGCCAATACTGTCCTTGTAAAAACTGAAAAGCTCTGTGGGTGTGTTAAACAACCGAGACCCAGACCCCTTATTGCTAGAGTATATTTTATGAGGAATTATAGGTGTTCAAACCCTCTCAACTGATGGCATAACTGTCGTGGAGAGGTTGGAGGGATGTTATGCAATAATTGCTTTGTGGTGGAAACTAATAGTATTAGCAATTTGGTGTTTATAAATAAAAGTAGGAATATGAATGTAAGCAGATTTTTAAGAAAGAAGTCGGGAGAAGTTGCAAGGAGGGATATGCCTCTCGAATGCCTGTTTGAACTCTCTAATTCTGTCATTATGCCTCTTGAGTTTATTAAACCAGAGCCTAAATAAAACAAACATTGTGTTTTAGTGTCAATTCTGTGTAGCGAATGCAAAGGCCATATCAGGGAGCAAAGTTTAGCTTCTGAAATACCTTGATCTGATCTTCTCTTTTCGAAGGGGAAAGGAGAGGGATGGGAGAAGCAGGTGTAGTCCATTGATGCTTAACCTTCTTCAGATTGCATTAAAAAAGCTGTGATATGACATGTAAATGCTTTTGTACGAGTATTTATGTTGTGAATAGGAACCACTCTGTTATCTGGATTCTTCATTGGTTTATTATTGAATTTATTGTTCCATATTGGTGTTGTTTCTGTTTTATAATTTAGTGCCATCTCCTGTTACTGGACTGACGGTGCTCTGAAGTTTGGCTGTTTTTTTTGTTTCACATGGCAAGCTTTATATATTTTCTCATCCTTCTGCTAGTGAAATCATTTGGAATGGCCATGACATTCAAAAATCTGGAATATTCCATCAGTATAGGCATCAGCTTAATTGGCTCTCCTTCAACGATGCCATCACGGATAGGTTTACAGTTGTGGACAATGTTCAGTGGTTTGAATTTCTTGAAGGCAAGCAAGGGAAGGCTATGCCTGCACTTGAGTTAATGGGACTGGTAAGATTGGCCAAGGAAAAGCCAAGGATGTTGTCTTTGGGCCAGCGGAAAAGACTGCAACTTGCTAGATTGCTGGCATATGGTTGCTAGATGAGCCTTCGGTTGCATTGGACGATGAAGGTGTAAAGTTACTTAGAGCATAGGAAACATGGAGAAATTGTGATTGTGGCCACTCATTTACCCGTTGAGATACAAGATTCCATGGTCTTGAGGCTCTCACCAAGGGATTTGCTTGACCGGTCTGACATTTGTTAAGTTACCTATTTTCATTCACATTCTCATCAAAAAATCTGGAATCAGTTGTTCTTTTTGACAATTCAGTCAGCATTCACTCACTGTGGGTTGTTGTTGTATTTTTTAAAGTTCAGTGGCAATCTTATAATTCACAAAAAAGTGTAGGGGATACTACGGGTGTAAATGGACTGTGTTGATTTAGGCTTTGGTATAAATAAGTTATGTCTATGTAAAATGTTTCGAGTCAGATCTAGCTTATTATCCTGGTGTAGGCTAAATTATAAGTTTAGTCTGGCTTATTTAAAAATCAAAATGTATGGCCTAGGTTTATTATTAGCCTATCAAGCCTTCAATATCAATCAGGAATTAGGAAAAATGTTTAAAATAATATTTTTATTAATTAAAATTATTTAAATAATTATTTTATTTTAATAATACAATGTAGATTGACTTGTACTTTAGATATTGTAAAAGTAAGTCTGGAGCCTGTTTTCTAATTAAGTTTTTTTTTAAAGGCCGAGCTTATTCTATTTTAGTGAGTATACAAAGTGAGAATCGGCTTGTCGTAGATCGGGCCAAGGCTCTTAATAAGCCATTTGGTTCATTTATATCCTAAGGCAGAAAAATAAATGGGGTTGTAAGTGAAGGAAAAGTAAGGACTAAAGGAAAGGAATCTTAGGGGCTGTTTCAAGCAAACAAGGAAAGAGGTAAACCCAACTTCTTTGGTTCTTTGCCCGGTTTTGTTTTGGTCAAAGGCCGTTAAAGCCTTGGACAATTTTATTAAATAAGTGGAATGTTATGTGATAAAGCATTTGTGGCTAATAATTATGAAGTTGCAATTTCACTTGTGTTGTAATGCAAGCATGGTTATCAAGTTGTGATTGAATGTCTTGAAATGCCTGTTATAAATTAAAGTCTTAGTGTGTGCGATGCTTCAAGAAAGGTAGGACTTCAGTCTTGTGCATGAACCCATATAATAGAATGTGTTATGTCACTAACGAAATTTTATACTATAAAGAATTAATTCAACCCAAAAGCTTAAGTTGTTAGATGAGGCTACATTAATAGTTTTATATATCTCTAATACGCCCCCTCACACGAGAGCCCATTGAGCTTGAAGGATGGATGATGCATCATCATCATCATCTACATCATGTACTACATGTGAAAAGTTTAAGGATGAAATAAAAAGATTAAATGATTTAAAAAAATTTAGATGTGTTAGAGAAAACTTGAATGTTATACTTGGTAGACTCACACATGTTACTTATGGTTTAGGTTATGTTAAGCCTAACATGCATCATTTAAATGCTAAAAGGACTTCAATTGTACATCATGGGTATATGTCTAAGAGTCCATTCATTAAATGCAATTATTGTGGAAGAAAATGTCATAATTCTTATCAATGCAAGTATAGGAAAAATGTGAAAAGTTACAAACAAATTTGGGTTGTAAAAGGCACTTTAAACCCACTGCTTTCAAATGATGGGCTACTGCCCATAGCTGACCAAAAGACCCAAAAGCCTTTGGGTACCAAAAGTCAAGTAAACTTACTTGTTTTGTAGGTACAAGTGTGCTTGAAGGCAAAAAGCACTGGTACCTTGATAACGGATGTTCCAAGCATATGACAGGAGATATTACTAGATTCACTTCAATCATCATGAAACAACATGAACATGTTACATATGGAGACAACAACAAAGGAAAGATACTAGGAATTGACAAAATTGGTAACATTTCCACTACTTTAATTGAAGATGTGCTTTTGGTAGAAGGTTTGAAGCATAACTTGCTTAGTATTAGTCAACTTTGTGATAAGCAATTTAAAATTGTATTTGATTCCATGACTTGTCATATTACTAGTTTGCTTGATGGTGAAGTTAAATTCATAGGTCATAGAATTGATAATGTGTATATGCTTGATATTGATTCTTATTCTACAAATGTTGCTACATGCTTGATAAGTAAAAGTGATGAGACTTGGTTATGGCATAGACATATTGCACATATTGGAATAAATCATCTAAACAAATTATTAAAACAAGATTTAGTAATTGGTTTGCCTAAACTCTAGTTTGAAAAAGATAGATTGTGTGATACTTATCAATAAGGGAAACAAATTAAAACTTCTTTTAAAAGTAAGAATGTTGCTTCTACCTCTAGACCTTTAGAGTTATTACACATGGATTTGTTTAGTCCCACAAGGACAATGTGTTTTGGTGATAATTACTATGCACTTGGGTTATTCTAGATTTACTTGGACACTTTTCTTATCACACAAGCATGATGCATATAAATCTTTTAAGAAGTTAGCAAAGCATATCATGAATGAGAAAAGCATGAAGATTGTTCATATTAGATGTGATCATGGTGGAGAATTTGAAAATTCTAAGTTTGAAAAGTTTTGTGATAAGCATAGCATAGGCCATAATTTTTTTCTCCTAGAACACCACAACAAAATGGAGTTGTAGAGAGAAAGAATAGAGTCTTAGAAGAACTTGCTAGAATTATGATAAGTGAAAGCAATCTTCCTAAGTAATTTTGGGCTGATGCGGTAAGTACCGCTTCTTATGTAATCAAACGTACACTAATTAGACCTATCCTTAAGAAAATCCCCCATGAACTTTACAAAGGTAGAAAGCCTAACATTGCATATTTTCATGTGTTTGGTTGCAAATGCTATGTTTTAAATAATGGTAAGGATAACCTTGGTAAATTTGATGCTAAAGTCGATGAAGGTAAATTTCTTGGTTATTCTCTTACTAGCAAAGCTTATAGAATATATAATAAAAGAACCATGACTATTGAAGAATCTATTCATGTTGCTTTTGATGTAACTAACTCTTTCTTGCAAAGAAAGTCTTTTGATGATAATATTGCAGATACTTTAGAAAACTTATCTTTGGAAGACAAAAATACTAGCAACAAGGAAAAGGAAAATATTGATTATCAAGGAAATCAACAAAGTGAGAATCAAGAGTTACCGAAGGATTGGAAGTACTCAAAGTCACACCCTATGGATGCTATAATTGCAGATCTATCAAAGGAAGTTTCAACAAGAAATTCTTTAAGGAATGCTTGCAATCACTTAGCTTTTGTATATTAAGTTGAACCCAAGACAATTGAGGAAGCTATTCAAGATGAAAATTGGATGCTTGCAATGCAAGAGGAGTTAAATCAATTTACAAGGAATGATGTTTGGGAACTTGTCCCTAAACCAGATGATCATCAAGTAATTAGCACTAAATGGGTATTTAGAAACAAATTTGATGAAAATGGTGTGATCACAAGAAACAAGGCAAGACTAGTAGCTAAATGTTATAGTCAAGAAGAAGGAATTGACTGTGATGAATCCTATGCACCTGTTGCAAGACTTGAAGCTATTAGATTACTACTTGCATATGCTTCAATATATGATTTCAAGCTATATCAAATGGATGTCAAACCTGCGCTTTTAAACAGTATTGTTCAAGAGGAGGTATATGTTCAACAACCACCCGACTTTGAGAGATTTGACTTTCCTAATCATGTTTATCGTTTGAAAAAAGCTTTATATGGTTTAAACCAAGCTCCAAGAGCTTGGTATGAAAGATTGAGAAAATTCTTATTAGAAAATAATTTTTGTAGAGGTAAAGTAAATACTACATTGTTTATAAAGAGAAAACATGATCATACTTATGCAAATTTATGTTGATGATATTATTTTTGGTTCTACTAATGAAATTCTTTGCGATGAGTTTGCTAAAATGATGAAAAGCGAATTTGAGATGTCTATGATGGGAGAACTCAACTATTTCCTTGGATTGCAAATAAAACAAGAAAAAGAAGGCATATTCATCAATCAAGAAAAGTATTGTATAGAGTTACTCAAATGCTTTGGAATGGATCAAGCTAAACCAATAGACACTCCAATGAGCACTTCAATCTCAATTCACAATGATGAAGGTAAACTGGTTGAGATAACAAAATATAGAGGAATGATTGGTTTTTTTATTGTATTTGACTGCTAGTAGATCAAATATTATGTTTTGTGTTTGCTTATGTGCTAGATATCAATCTTGTCCTAGATAATCACATTTAAATGTCGTTAAAAGGATTTTGAGATACTTAGTAGGCACTACTCATATCTCTAAGCAATAACCAAGCAATAGCTCAAGCAATCAATTCCAAGAACACTAAATTTTTCCAAAATTTCGTAGCAATGGGTGTGGTATTTCTCAAAATCTAGAGGGTTTCAAGAGGAATGGAGGTGTGGGTTGTGTTCATTGGGTCATTTACTTAAAGTTTCATGTGGAACACTAAGCATTTTGGTGAGGAATTGATGAAGAAATCAAAGGATGAAAATTTGCCCACTTTTGATGAAGGAGCTCGGTTTTGTGGAGAGAGAAGGAGGGTGGAAGATGATGAATAATGGCTGAAGCTTAGGTGTAAGCCACTTAAGTGGGTGGGTCCCACTTGACACATCACTCAATTTAAATTATTTCAAATCTCTCACTTAAATCACTAATCTCTAGTTTAATCCCAACCTATTTATAAAATCCAAAATCTAACATTCACCAAAGTTCTTTAATTATACTTGATCAGATGAATCCGGAGATTTTCGGTCATTCGGTGAAATCACAGTTTTAACCCGATATGTGCACTGTTGGCACGTTTCCCCAAAAATCCTAATTTTCATCAAATTTCATCAATAA